GCAAATAAACTAGGTGAAATGTTAGCAAAACATTCTTCCCCTTAATTCCAAAATTTTCAAAAACGGCAGGAAAGGAAAACTATTAATTTTAAATCAGAAAATGAGGAAGATTATAATGAAATATTTTCGATCCATGAACTTCATACTGCTCTTGGACAAGCTTATGATACTGCTACAGGAGCTGAAAATTGACACTATCAACTCCAGAAGCACTTACAAGAACCGTGTTTAGAAACCCTTTTGTTAATTTTTGATGATATATGGACATCAGGTAAGTTTCCTTCTTCCTGGCGTGATGCCATAGTTGTACCAATACCGAAACCTTGACGGGATCACAGTGATCCCTCAAATTATAGACCCATTTCATTGACCAGTTGCGTTTGCAAAACCATGGAACACTTGGTCAACAATAGATTAACATGGTACTTGGAATCAAATAATTTAATTACAAATATTCAGTGTGGCTTTCGAAAGAATCGAAGTACCGTTGACCATTTAGTACGATTAGAATCATTTGTGAAAAATGCAATCATTAATAACCAGCATATTGTGTCTATATTTTTCGATTTAGAAAAAGCATATGACACAACGTGGAAACACGGGATTTTAAAGGATTTATATGATTTTGGATTGAGAGGCCGTTTGCCTCAATTTATATCCAAGTTTTTAACTGACAGACAATTTCACGCCCGCTTGGGTTCTACCCTGTCTGATCATTATCATCAGGATCAGGGTGTCCCACAAGGCAGTATTTTGTCTGTCACTTTATTCAGTATAAACATCAAAAGTCTTTCAAAGGTTTTAAGTGATGTAGTAGATGGATCACTTTTCGTGGATGATTTAAATGTTTCTTGTCGTGGAAAAAATATGCACACAATAGAGAGGCAGTTACAAATCTGTCTCAATAAAATTCATAAATGGTCCCTTGCAAACGGGTGCAAAGATTCCGAATCAAAAACTAACTGTCTACATTTCTGCAGAAAATATAAACCGCAAAAAGACCCTGAACTATTTTTAAATGGCACCCCTATCATAGTTGTAAAAGAGGCCAAGTTCTTGGGCCTTATCTTCGATAGTCATTTAACTTTCCTTCCGCATATTAATTACCTTAAAGCTAAATGTCTGAAGGCACTCGATTTGTTGAAAGTAGTTTCTAATTCTAAGTGGGATTATGGCTCCTTCGTCTATTGTGGAGCCTGCAAAATTAACTTTAAAAAACTGGATACTATCCATCATCAGGGCCTAAGGCTTTGCCTTGTAGCCTTAAGAACGTCTCCAATTCACAGTCTGTATGTAGAAGCGGAACAACGCCATCTGAAACTATCTTCACAATACATCACTAAATTATATTCTAATCAGTCAAATCCAGCTTTTAATTGCGTATTTAATCCACTTTACGAAGATATTTACAATAAGAAAACATCTCTTGTTCCAACACTTGGAATAAGAATAAAATCAGTCGTTTCTGCTGCTAAGATTAATTTTTATGATTAGCTCCCATACAACTGTTTCATCGCCCCCTTGGCAAATGGTAAGGCCAAATGTAGACCTCACATTAACGAGACTTAAGGAATCTGATACAACCAAAGAATACAATCAATTACGAAGCACATATGACACTTATAACTCTATATTTACAGATGGATCCAAGGATGGTGGCGCAGTTTCTAGTGCCACTGTCATTGGATCAAGAACAGTATCTTCACGATCATCAGATAATAGTTCAATCTTCACAGCAGAAGCACGCGCAATTTTAACAGCTCTAAAATATGTCAAGAATCAAAATATAAACAATTAATTATTTTTTCAGATTCACTTTCGTGCCTTCAGGCTATTAAAAATATGTCTTGTAAAAATCCATTTTTAAATAATTAAATTTTCGTTGTGTTCATGGAAATTCCTGCATTCTGATTAGCTGAATTGGTCACGTGTTATTGCATTCATTTCCCATTGAATGTAAAAAATTAAGCCACGCCCACCGCGGCGCACCACTTTTATTACTGCGGAATGTCGGGGAGTCCCAGTATTACAGTCGAGGGAATTCCCTTTCTGCTCACGTGTATCGTCATGCACAGGACATTTAGCGACTTTCATGCATATTCATTGTCCAAACTACCCTTTGAAACGGAAGGCCGAGAATGAATGAAACAGCAAACGTGCAGGCTCGCTCGCCTGTTTTTTCCCGCTCGCCCTGGTTCAACTTTCATGTCTTCGGGTTTCATTTATAACTAGCATTTCTCCAACTGTGTTTTACCATAATCAGGGAAGTAATGTTTGAATCACGCAGTAAATGTCACAAAATGACCATGTTATTTGAAACAGCCGCCTTCTCCCGGACATATTTCTTCCGGTTCGTTACAGTCTGACTGTTGCAGTTCTTTTCGCCTCTTGCCTTAACTGACAGGTCCAATGAACATTGTTTTAATCCCACTCTCCGTTGATTGGCTACTGACTGTTTAGGCGTGTCAAGTTATGTGCATAAATTAAACGATCACCTGATTCATGTCACGCCACTGTATGTATTCCTACACCTGGAATGTTTATTAATGTCGTCATTTTTGTCGGTTTTGATATATGCAACTGTTTTGGGTTAAACTATTGTAGATAAAACATGTTTTACGTTGTCGAATTTAATTATAAGCATTGACTGTATATTTTTTCGGTTCATTGAAGTATGAATCGAAAAACCGATGTGCAAAAAATACACAGTCAATCCTTAATTGAAATTCTCGAGTTATTTAATGATCTAGCTACTGGCCCTGTAGTATTTATAAACCTGTTATTAGATGTTTCATCAGAGATCTAATACAGAAGAAGTGGGACACCGAAGTGGGTATAAATAAATTACATGCAATAAAAGCAAATACCTGTTATACCTACTTGGGTTGTCAGTCCAGATTTGAAGAGGTCATTTTAAGACGATGTCGTATTGGCCATTCACGTAACACGCATGAATATATTTTAAACGGTGAGGATCCTCCATTCTGCACACTTTGTAATGAAAGAATCACGGTCAAGTATATTCTGCTCGACTGTATTGATTTTTCCATCACAAGGGGTAAATATTTCAAAGTCTCAGCTATGAAGGACCTTTTTACACAGGTAAGTACTCGTTTAATTCTTGTTTTTTTAAATGAATAAATTTTTATTTGTTATGTTTTGTAAATATTAAATTCACTTTTACCATTGGTAGAATCAATCAGTAACTGAGATTGTCAGTGGCTATATCCTTGAATGGGGTTAAAGTCGTGTAAAATTATTGAGAGAGGGTATGTGAGATCACTTCATTCAAAGAAATTTATCTATCACTGTTTCAAACGCAGAATATTTGTATATATTAATTTACGGCTAATCTCGTCAACAATCGCCAATGACTGGAGGGATGGTGTAAAAGGTACTGGAAGTCCCCATGGTCCCTGGTATGGTGGCCTAACTTTAGTTATTGGTGGCCTATAGCCTGTTTTTTATAGCGTGTCGTCTGTCATAATCTGATTTTTTGATTGTTCTAAAACTAGTTTGACAATTGTAATCTGTGAAATATTGCTGGTTGGTGTATTGTTCTTCGATGACAGTTTTTAATATATCATATAGATGCATAACTTGTTCATGTCACGATATGGTAGAAACATTGCCGATGTGACTTTAAATATTAACTCACTCACTCACTCACGCACTCATTCTATGCAAGGTGTTGCTGACGATCTATAGCCCGTTTTTATCTTGTATCGTTATGTATAGTGCTATTCTCTTTTATGATTCCGTACTAGTTTTATATCTTTTTCTGTGATAAATCTAGTTATTTTACTGTCCTTCATTGACAGGTTTTTATGTAAGTTTCAATATATGTATTATGTTTAACTATTGATAGTCACGATATGGCTGAAATATTGCCGATGTGACTGTAAATTTTAACTCACTCACATTCTATGCAAGGTCTTCAGCAACCCATGCTTGCCAGTTGCGTGGATCGATGCTCATGATGTCATTCACTGGGTTCTCTGGTCCAGACTCAATTATGTACAGATCGACGTCATGCTGTTGGAATATTAGTGAGTGCGGTGTTAAACCAAACAAACAAACAAAACAATTTGGGGAATCAGCGTGGTGTTACGATATACATGATCTACACATTCTTTAGGCATGATCTACACATTCTTTAGGCAACCAGCAAACGCATACTCGACCACATGAATTTTACCGGAACTCCTCCAAATATAAAATGTCGTTGAAGTCACTCCAAGGAAATATGGTATGGGTGACGATTCAACTCGACTTTCCATAGTAGTATAATTAAGTGTGCAGTGAAAAATTTGTTAATACATAGCAACAACGTCCTGCATCACTTGTATTGTCGTCCATATGTAAGCGACATACGTTGTCGCATTGTTTTGGTTAAACGTTGTAACAACGTATTGATTTGGTTGTAGCAACCAATCTGGAGTCCATAGATTTACGCTGTTCAACGTTACATCACAACGTGGAATTGTTTGGTGGGTATACACCTAGTCGGTACACTAAACTTTGTGATCAAGTTGGATAGAAACATGAGATTTCCAGGTTTAAAGTCAAAGTTAAGTAGAAATGCTTTCCTCAATGTTGAAGTTACAAAAGAAACAAAATTGCCCTTGAAGTGACGTAAAGATAGTTTATGTTGCAATATCACTGGATTGGAGATGGCAACTGCTAGGTATCACTTTCGCGAAAAGAAAAACATTTAATCTCTATACGTCGTATAGAACTCCCCTTGGAAGATAACAAGGCTTGCATAAATTGTTTCCATGTTAATTAAATAGTTAACTTTTGTTTATTTGTGATAAAAATTGCAGAGTATCTCGATGTTAATAATAAGTATCTTGCTATTGTCAGAACTAGACTTTAGTTATTATAGGCTTTTAAAAAAGTAATATATATGTGCAAATTTCAGAAATTAAAATTAAAATCCTTAACAATCAGTTGCAACATTTTCAGAAACTTCAGAAACAATGCTAGATACTATGCATATTTTATTAAGAATAAAAAAAGGGCCAAGATGACAATTTGTATTATTGTTCTTCTGGCAGTCGCGCTCATTGTATGTACTTGCATCTGACGATCTCGCCCTCTACTTTGCAGTAACTGCAATGAAAATGGATACATAATTAAATACTATGCATTCCCTTACCCAAATACATTGCTGTTCGCCACAGCATGTCTGCTAATGTGGGAGGAAAGCCCGAAATGATGCAGATATCAGACGTTTACCACTTCGGTGAAACCTAGAAACATAATCGGGGCGAACAGGTATTCGAACCAACAATCATAGGTTTCTGGCGTGCCCAAGGGACGCAGCTCTGCACAGCGAATCGCGGCGCCTTAGACTACCGGGCCACCTGTGCCCCCTATATAATCTCGACTTGTTCAGTATATATATATACGGATATACAATTTTTTCACTGAAAGGTTGGTCAATTGTCCGCGAAAATGACGTTCGAAAGCGGATAACCGACACAATTTGACCTTAACACCTGTCAACACGAAGCAGCTTATTCCACATTCCTGGGAATTTCCTAGCACGAGTATAAAGAGAAGCGTTGTTTCTGATCATTGATCAATACTGATCTTGAACTTAGTGTTTTGCCTACATTCTTGTTCAATCATAATTTGACAACGATAAGGTTCATTTGAATGCTTTTGACGGAGTGAAATCTTAGAGTATAATGTGTTGTGATTATTTTCTTTGTTCCATGGTGTTTCAAGGCAATTTCTAAATTGAAACTCAATTGTTAACTCAGAAATTAGTTCGTGCAGAAAAATGATAAATGACCACACAAGATCAGCCACAAAGGACAATACACTTGGTCAAATTGGTGGCAGCATCAATAAGTAATATGTCATACAGTAACACATGTTCATAATTATTCAGGGGCGATGGGATAACCTAGTGGTTAAAGCATTGGCTCGTAACGTCGAAGACCCGGGTTCGATTCCCAACATGGGTACAATGTGTGAAACCCATTTTCCGGCGTCCCCCGCCGTGACATTGCTTGAGTATAGCTAAAAGCGGCGTAAAATCATACTCACTCACTCATGAATATTCACCGTCGAATGTCTTGGAACAGGCCTGTCATGAATCCGTAAACGTATGTAAGGTGGCAAAACTTCGGTGTTCTCAGATAGGTATCCTATTTGCCCTTGGCAAGTAGATAACACGTAAGTCAGGTCGCAAAATGCCTCGCATCAACCGCGTTCTACTTTTATAGAGGTTTGACAGTTTCCTATTGACAGTCCAAAATCGAAGATTCTCGAGCAAGATTGTCACGTGTATTTACAAACCAATTTCTGAACAAGAAAGGGTTTATTTTAACTAACCGTATATATGAGTTTCCACACAAATATGAGCAACATATATCACAACATGTCAGCTTGACCATTGAGAACGCCAAAGGTTAGGTCACAAAACATATCAACGTCCTACGAGTCCTTACAGTATTTCAACATCAAAAACTTAAAAAGGTGAACTACTGACTTACTCAGACAACAGTTTAGTCCATCAGAGCAGTCTATGTTTCCGTTCTCATCACCGGTACCATCAGGACATTCAGCAAGACACATCCCATCAAACGATCCGCACGCTGAAATATTTGTAAAAAAGTGTATTCTTCGCCTCGAATGGTATTTATTCAGACAATAAACTTCATAAACTTCCATTAACTCTCTGTTTTTCTTCTGACGACCGTGACATACAAAGTCTCTATAATAAGTCTACTATCTATTTATTTGTACAAGTAAAACATGTTTGATCCATGAAGATTAATTTCCAAAACAACGTAGGTTTTAATGTACGTCAAAGTATCACAACCTCCAGAAATGATACTACCGTATACTTCATATCATTACTATTTTCTAGACATATATTGTGTGCTACGACACTCATACAACAGGATATCTGTTGATTGATTGATTGATTGATTGATTGATTGATTATAAGAAAGTTTTATAGGTCTTTGGGCAACTAGGCCTATTTACTCCTTGCCCATAAGGTTTACTAATTGCCTAGATAGTTCATAGAGTAGTGAAACTGCCACAAGCTTTAAAAGCTCCAAACACTACTTGAAGATTGTCTGACATATTCAATAGCAATAGCATTACTATAGACATAAAAAATGGAGACCTTTGGAGATCTTTTATCCTTCAAATGAATATTGACTTCATTCCCTTGTAATTAAGATAGTGAAACCTGAATTCACTAAATGACAGTGAGTGAGTGAGTTTAGCACTACGACTCCTAAAACCAAACTGACGATCTTTACATAGGCAGACATAACCTTTCCTTAACAGAATTGCTGGTTAGGACTCAAGAACTTCTCCTGAAGACATAACATCTGGCTTTGGGTCAAGACTGTTAATAAAAACCTTAAATCCTGGACCATTAGCATTTATTGATCTAGCATCCATAGAGCCATAAGAAGGATGGATTAAGACTTCCATTGTTCACACTTATCCATGCTCGTCAGATCATCAGGGGACAATTAAGCTTTGAATGTCCTAGTAGTTCCAAGACTGGCAACTATGCAAATAACAAAGTTGAGAAAATCAACAGGAGAGACATTGTTGAATAGGGGTTTGCATGAAGATTCGGGCATAATGCAAATTACAGGATCAGTCTTACATTCAGCTTCCGGGGTGTCAGTCTGAGAACTATCAGTCACCATGACTGAAGGAGAAACAACATCAGAAATTGGAACAACCGGAGACAGTAGTGTAGCTGCAGGATGTGGGTTATTGACTTTAGGAACCTAATCATGAGCAATATCCAAATCTCCACGCACCTTTCGAACAGGCTGAGAATAAGACAATTTACCCTCAACACTGACTTTCTGGATCTGGACAGCTTCATTGTATTTAATACAACCTTTGTATGCCGCAGAGTGAGCACCACCACAGTTCTTACATTAAAGAGAACTTTCATTGCACTCCTCATATGTGTGCTTCCCTCCACATTTAGCCCACATATGTTGAGTGGGGGTACACTTGGCAGAGTTATGCCCATAGGACTGACACTTGAAGCATCGCCGAGCAACATACAGTCGGATTGGAAATCTCTGGAAGAAAATGACAACCTGGTCTGGTAAAGACTCGCCAGTAAATGTAAGCAAAACAGATTTGGTGGGAACTTTATGAGGTCCACGAGTCAGACGCACACCAGAGCACATTAGAGGTAACACAGGTTTTAACTCGTCCTCAATTTCACTCATCTCAATATCCAGATCAATACCAGAGAAAACTCCATGGGTTCTCATTAATGATTCATGTTTGGGAGACAAAATGTTCATCAAGTTATGTTACTTGCAAAAGTGTTTGGGCAGCCTCATCAGTTTTTGCTGTGACAGTAACATCTCCCCTGGCCATTCGCTGAACACTGAGTATTTCTGTAGTGACCTTAGCCAAGGCTCTAGCCAAAGCGCGCTGGATCATCAGTTGACAGAGGGTCGTTGAACCATCATCAGATTCATCTACTTCGGGTTTAAAGATAACAGTTGTTGATTTGATCCGCACTGGCTCATTAAATACAAAAGTAAGATCAGACCGTGCAGTAGGCGGGACAGTACTTGGTAGCTTGGCAACACAGTCTTTTTTAGAAGTACCATCTGGAATATGATCAATTCGCTTCCTCCCTGAAGTCACCACTTTGAAACCGTCCTCACATTTCATTCTGTTGTCAGCCGTTGCCGAGGACAATCCCCAACAACTGACTGTAACAATCAGCAAACGCCAAATAAAATTAAAAGTTTAAATGCACTCCAACACAAGAGAAATAAAAAGCAAAAAGAACCAGAAGGAAGTACCACAAACAATCAAGTGTGTTGTATAACACTAGACAAGTTGCTGAGAAGCAAAAGACGGATATCTGTGATATAACATAATCTCAGATCATGGTGTAGGGACAATGGTTACTTACTTTTCCTAACTTAACGTGTAAATCCTGCTGGGGTACCATGTAGGTAGCAGAAGTACCGTAAGTCCCCATGGTCCATAGTTTGGCGATCTACAGCCCCTTTTTTATATTGTGTCGTCTGTTATAATCTGATTATTTTATTATTCTATAACTAGTTTTACAATTATAATCTGTGATATTTTGCTAGTTGTTGTACTGTCCTACGACGACAGGTCTTAATATATTATATAAATACATAACTTGCTCAAGTCACGATATGGCTGAAATAATGCCGCTGTGACTTTAAATTTTAACTCATTCACTCACTCCTAACTTAACGGCTAAACATTTCCGTGATGTCAAAGTCTGTTTCAGTTACGTTTGATAATTGACTTGTCATACTGATCTTGTGTGAAACTAGATCTTGTGTCACAATACAAGCATTGTTATGTATGTTAATGTTTCCGCCTAAATGTTGTTACACGGCTTAATTGTGCGTCTGTATCCATGATAGCTGCACAACAGTGTTTTTCGGAGTAAATTCATGTGCAACTACAGAATATTTCACCTATCTGACATTTGATGTCTTGAATGAGTGAGTGAGCTTGATTGTACGCCGCTTTTAGCAATATCCCAGCAATATCACGGCGGGGGACACCAGAAATGGGCTTCACACATTGTACCAATGTCGGGAATCGAACTAGGGTCTTCAGCGTGACGAGCGAACGCTATAACCACCAGGCTACCCGACGCCCTTAATGTCTTGAAACTTGTACCAAAAGTTTGTAATACGGTAAGGTAGACCTACAAATGCCACACACCAAAGATGCTATTTGTAAAGTGTCACACAGACCAACATTCATATTCATGGTTGACACCAGTCAGTCGGCGCATCAAGGAGCCAACATGCCTTTATTGGGTTCTTAATGCTGTTGCATGCATGTTCAGGTGATTTGCTGTTGTTTCTTACCTGAATGACTCCAAAGACCGAATGTGAATGTCTACACAGGTATCGCTCTTCATTAATGAGTTTGATGTGGTGCATCATGTTACATAACTGTGTGATAAGATCTAAAGATTAATGTACTGTATACATATTAACTGATACTAGTTACATGTACATACATGTTCATGGCCGTTACTCATGGATTGTATTGATAATTTACAGATGAAATACTGTTGCGTTGAAAATAAACAACAAACTTACTCATGGCAGTCGTTGTAGATGTTACTGATGTTGTCGAGGATGTTGTTGCAGTGGTTGCTGCTGCAGTGGTTGCTGCAGTCATTGCTGTCGTTGTTGGTGGACACAGAAACTCTCTGGCACAGATTGCAATTTGTTTTCTGAATGCGCACAGTTGTCGACAGCGAAGGGAAGATGGTGCCTGACAGTGGCATGACCTGCATGAGGACTCAGTGTCAGCGAATTGACGACACACAGCTGCTGCGCTGAGCCGCAGACTTGCCTGGCAGCCATGACGATATGTGCACTTTGTGCGCCTGGTCGCTGCTTCATGGACGATAAGCAAACAGGCAAAAAGTAGGAGTACGTCTTGCGCGCCGTGGAACTTCATAGCGTCCTTTTAGACTCTCGGAAGTGTCTATAGAACTCACAAAGACCCTTTTTATAGAGATAGTCGTCACGCCCATTATCATCTGTTTAACAAGTGAGAGGTTTCACCTGGAAATGAGGCGTTTCCTGCACCAGATATCATAGTGTCACGTGTTTTCTAAGCGCCACGCCTCATGTCGGTAAGGTGATGGAACAAATACACCACACTTACCGATATTTATCTTTTAACGTACCAAATTGCCTCATCTCTCATAATCCAAATACAAATATATATTTTGTAAGTAGAAATTTAATGATATTTTGTATGTCTCAATTCAATTATATAAATAAATACATAAATCTCTTTCCAAATTGATTAGGTCACCAGTGTATTCACAATGCAAATCTGGGTCGCCTTTGGCTGAAATATGTGTCATTATGTATAAGTCATTTTGCAAAGTGGTGTCAATGTGGACAAAGCGCTTTTCCACATAAACTTTAATATTAAAACAAAAGATTTTGAGGGGGTCGATCAACGTAGAGACCCTGGCTAAAATATGTCACCAGCACTATATTGCTTGTTCTCCAATACCCCGTTCACATACACAACATTTACCCACGTAAGTAATTTTGCACATGTGTAACTACACATACGTGTGCATATGGAAATTTACTATGCGTTCACATGAAAATTAACTTAGGTGTTTGAAAAAGGTATGTAAATGGTGTAAGGCACACATATTCATCAGTCTGTTAACGACTTTCAACATCCAAAGGTTGTTTTCCAATCCAAGTCGAAAGAGAATTGAGTTACCTGACAGAAATCTTCGCAGGAAGCAACATGTGTTTGACTTAATCTGTACGCAAAATGTTGACCCCTTGAAAATCAAAGAAAATAAGGATCGCCCAGCTCCGCATTAAAGTTGGATTTGCTTTATACTGAATAGCGTCAACTTCAGAGGACAGAACTGTTGACATTTTGTTTGATGTTGGCAAAACAACAGATTCTCTGACGTTTACGTAAGCGTTCACGTGACAACATTTACGTACAGAGCAAATTTACATTTACATTTGCACCTGGTCAAGACATGATGCACATTTGCTCCTGGTGTAAATATAAACACATGAGTAAACTCGTTCACATGACAAGTATACACACTGGTGTATATTTGTACAAATGTGTAATTATACACACGTGTAAACAGGTGCATGCGAACGGGGTATATGATAAAAAGAAATCGAACTGGATAATCCTGTGTAGAAAAGATAACAACAAGAAGCATTAAGTTTTACGTTTACCAGTACTTTCCAGAGATCTCCAGTGCTTATTTTAGTATCTTTCTCAAAGTCATACAAAATAAATCTAGATATTATGAACCTCTTCTCTACACTCAACCTGTTAAAGCCCATGTGACTGTAAATCTTAACTCACTCGTGTACCCGTTAATTGGTCATACAATATGTAGAAAATGTAAACAAACATACCCATCAAGCTTGACAATATGCAAGTTGTAAACCTTGCTGGAGAACCGTGTATGTAGCAGATGTAGTTTAAGTACCATCGTCCTTCAACTTGTGCGTGATGTTGCCATTGGTAGACTGAACAAACGTTAAAAGAGGAAACGGAATTTGAATAAACCCATTCTGTCCCAGCTTTGTTTGTTCAAAGAGATTGGTTTACATGAAATGTACAATAATGACACATATATAAGGCAGGTATGTTAACTGAGGAAGAAATCTGCCCAAACCATAACTCAGTACTGTCGGTTTCTGACTAGACTCTAAAACATGAAGAGTGAGTGAGTGAGTATGGTTTTACACCACTTTTAGCAATATTCCAGCAATATCACGGCGGGGGACACCAGAAATGGGCTTCACACATTGTACCCATGTCGGGAATCGAAACCCGGGTCTTCGGCGTGTCGAGCGAACGCTTTAACCACTAGGCTACCCAAGCCCCAAAAACATGAAGACATGTCCATTCCTCTTTTGCACTGGATTCCAAAAAATCCGTGCAAAGAGAGAAATATTGCTGCGTCCAGCAAATGTACCACCAAAAGTCCGTCTCTATGACTCACCATAATCCTTAATACAATCAAGGAAGGCCTTTCTTTATATTCACAGAAAGTATTTAAGACAAGTGGAATTCACACCATGTGGATTTTCTTGCAATCTCAATTCCATTCTGTCAAAACATTGAATTTTGCAAATTGTACCCCACTATCCCACATGACTTAACTTAATTCTTTGACCAAAGGGTCTTTAGTTACAGAACGTGTTGCCCACATATACAGTTACGTATCTATATTCAGAGGTTCAGAACATTTTGTGAAAAAATGAAAGCAAATGCTCTCTGATGTTTACTGAGAAAACTATATGTGAACTGCAAGACTTCCTCATTGATAACATCTACATAAAGAAAGTAGAGCTAATTTATTGATAACAACTTCTTTATTTAATATGAATTGTCTCTACTATCTGGAGGCACTCGTGAAGAGCAACCTCCTCGTGGTGAGTGCTGGGTAACGCCAATAGCTCTTCCCCCGTGTGGAACCGGGGTAGAATATTTCCACAGCACCCCATTGCTGCTGGTAAGAGGCGACCAAAGTGGGCAGCCCGTTTGCCGTGGGTTGCGTCCCTGTGTCGGCGGAGGACGGGAGTCTGGTAGTTGAGGGCACTGGTTCCTGGAACTGTGTTCCTTTGTCCAACACACTACTTCGACCCTTACTTCGCCTAGACGGGTAGTAAGATGGGCCCGGTCTTATCAATCGGCTGGTCATGCCAGGCCCTGTGCGTAATATTGTGTATGCACACCTGTGTTGTATTTTATTGTATATTTTGGTCTTGGCGGTACATTACTTGTGTGAATTCTCCAATTTGGATTAAATAAATTGCCTAGAGTCTTACGCCAGAAGGCGGTGGCTCATGGGCCAATCTGGTGATGTTGAGCTCTGTATTCTGTATGTCTCCAGTTTCTTGTCATGGAATGAACCTGCCTGGCACTACATCTGGTAGATAAATATAGCTATTCAAGTCATATTTGCTGGAGTATAATATCCCTGTATCCCTGGTGTTTCCATGCTGGAAATCCGATGCGCTACAACACTGTCCTTGTTGATACTCCATAGTTGGTGGGGAGCAGGTTTGCTGAAACACTTTTCTTTCACCATGGCTCACAATCATTCTGGTTCAAAGCGTAGACATTTCGAATCAAGCTCATCTGATGAGGCTGTTGCAAATTTTGATTCCTGGGCTCGATTCCTTGTGATCGTAGCTAAAGATCATCAACCTATCAATCTTAATCCCTTTGCCATTTCTAAGGCAGTCCATGGCTATTGTGGTGATGTTAAATGAGTGAGTGAGTTATATTTAAAGTCACATCGGCAATATTGCAGCCATATCGTGACTATCAAGGTTTTATGTTTATAAATACAATTATACTTATATAAAAACCTGCCAACGAAGGACAGTAAAAAGTACTAGACTTATCACAGAAAAAGATTTTTAAACTAGTATGGGATCATAAAAAAGGATAACACTTATACATAACAATAACATGATAAAAACGGGCTATAGATCGCCAGCCCCTGAAGGGAGATCACCATACTGGGGACCATGGGGACTTACAGTACCTTAGCTACCTGCATGGGTCCCAGCAGGATTTACATCATCCCTTCAAGTGTTGGCGATTATTGGCAGAGTTAGCCTTACATCTTAAAATGACACATATTCTACGATTAAAAACACGGTAGTTCTAAATTTACCTTGAAGAAGTGGAACTTATGTACCCTCTCAGGAGGACAATAATTTTACAGTACTTTAACCCCACTCGAGGATACAGCCACTAACATTCTCAGTTGCTAATTTAATCTACCAATCATAAAATATTTATATTTCACAAAACACAATCAAAATTGTGCACACAACTCTATTTCTTTTAAAAAACCAATGATTAAACGAGAATCGATACTGCTAAAAAGATCCTTAATAGATGACACTTTGAAATATTTATCCCTTGTGATGGAAAAATCAATGCAGTCAAGCAGGACATGCTTGACCGTGATTCTTTCATCACAAGGGATACAAAACGGAGGATCCTCACCTTTTAATAAATATTCATTTGTGTATCTGCTGTGGCCAATCGTCGCATAATGACCTCTTCAAATCTGGACTGACAGCCCAAGTAGGTGTAACCGATATTTGGTTTAATTTCATGTAATTTATTGATACCTACTTGGGTGTCCCACTTCTTTTGCATCAGATCACGAATGTAAGATCTAATTGCAGGTTTATAATCAGTGTAGGGTATGAGAAGTGGTGTCACAGATTTGGTGAGTGCTGCTTTAGCAGCAGCATCGGCCATTGTGTTTCCAGTGATGCCAACATGGCTTGGTAACCAACAAAAGACGATGTCATATTGGCCAGTAGCAAGATCATTAAATAATTCGAGAATTTGGATTAAAAGTGGATGTTTGGATGACATATTTTTAATTGCCTGAAGGCATGAAAGTGAATCAGAGAAAATAATGAATTGTGTATGTTTTGATTGATTACTGATATATTTTAGTGCTGTAAAAATGGCGTTTGCCTCTGCTGTGAGTATGGAACTGCTATCAGGTAATCGTGAAGATAATGTTCTGGATCCAATGACGGTGGCACTAGCAACTGTGCCACCATCCTTGGATCCATCTGTAAATATAGATTTATAAGTGTCGTAAGTGTTTCTTAATTGATGGTATTCTTGTTGATAAATTAATTGGTTAGTAACTGATTTCTTTAATTTTGTTAAGGAAAGATCTACCTCTGGCCTTACCATTTGCCAAGGAGGTGATGAAAACAGTTGAGTTGGAGGTATATCTTGCAATTTAATATTTGCGGCAGACATGTCAGACTGGATTCTGATTCCAAGTGTTGGAACAACAGACGATTTTTTATTATAAATATATTGGTAAAGAGGATTAAAGACGCAGTTAAAAGCTGGATTTGACTGATTTGAATATAATTTAGTAACATATTGTAACGATAATT